GTTGGCATAGTGCTCTTTTTACCAAAAAATATGATGCCCCGCCCACCCACCCTTCTTTTATCGTGGCAAACATGACTGTCAAGTTGTAATTTACGGTGTTAAGTCAGTAAATGCCATTTTCTAATCATGCTTATTCCGTAATTGAAAACTAGGGTATGTGAATTAAAAGCAGTGGCGTATTTTCACCCTAAAATTGCAATCATACCTATTTTTTTTTTTTTGTTAAGCTAGTACAATGCTATTTTTATAAAAAAAAATATTATACCCCGCCCACCCACCCTTTTTTTTATCGTGGCAAACATAACTATCAAATTGTAATTTACGGTGTTAAGTTAGTAGATGCCATCTTCTAATCACATGTATTCCATAATTGAAAACTATGGTATGTGAATTAAAAGCAGTGGCGAACTTGCACCCTACAATGGGTGTCATCTCTATTTTTATTTTATTTGATTTATTTATTTATTTGTAAGTCGGCATAGTGCTATTTTTATTAAAAAAAATATGATACCCCGCCCACCCACCCTTTTTCTATCGTAGCAAACATGACTGTCAAATTGAAATTTACGGTGTTAAGTCAGTGGATGCCATCTTCTAATCACGTTTATTAAATAATTGAAAACTAGGGTATGTGAATTAAAAGCAGTGGCGTATTTTCACCCTAAAATTGCAATCATCTCTATTTTTAGTTTTTTTTTTTTTTTTGTACGTTGATACAATGCTACTTTTACCAAAAAATATGATGCCCCGCCCACACATCCTTTTTCCGTAAATTGAAATTTACGGAAAGTCAGTAGATGAAATCTTCTAATCACGTTTACTAAATAATTCAAAACTAGTGTATGTGAATTAAAAGCAGTGGCGAATTTTTACCCTAAAATGGCAGTCATCTTTTTTTTCTAAATTGGTGCAGTGGTTTTTTACAAAAAAACTTATGCTCCGCCCACCCACCCATTTTTTTATGTTGGCATATGAAGGGTGTCAGGAGAAAACCATGGATGTCACATTGGACAAAAATCGAGATATTTAAAATTTAATCTTTGAAAATCTTTTTTTTTTATTGTCGCACATTATATTTTCATAGTTTACACAAAAATTGTATAAATCGAACAACACTTTATTTTGTATGAACATTGAACAAGAAACAAAAGGTTAACGTAATAAAAAATGAAATTTGAACGAAGTACCAACACGGTTGGGAGAAAACTGTGAATGTCCAGGCCCTGTTCTGTGCATATATTTATCTAGAGGAAAACGTCGTCAAGTATTAGCTAACTCTAAATCTCAGAACTGGATGGGGTTAGTTTGAGGTTTTTATTTAGATTCCACTGTTGTTCAATATCAAATGCACTTTTCGTCCAATAAAATGAGTGAACAAAAAGAAAACACTTACCACTTTGAGTTTTTGTAAGTCTAGTTCGCCATTTGACATAGTAAAATTCAGTCTTCATCTAATCAAAAAAATCAGCGACATCCAAAAGCGGAGGTGGGTGGGGTTAGTTTTACCTTTTCGTCTAGATTCCAATGTCTATCAACATAAAACCCATTTTTTGTCCAATAAAATGAGTAATGAAGAGGAAAATCGGGTGGGTGGGCGGTACCACTTTGAATTTGTATAAATAAACTCGATCACATGACAAAATAAAATTCAATTACCATCCAATCAAATAAGCCAATGAAATACAAAACCGAAGGTGGGGTTTCTGTTTAGTTTCCACTGTTGTTCAATATAAAACACACTTTTCGTCCAATAGCGGTGGTGGGTGGGATTAGTTTTACGTTGTTTGTCTAGATTTCGTTGTGATATTTATTGTTTTCTCCTCATCTGTTCAAGTTTTACGTGGACATCCTATGTTTTCTCCCAAAGAAGATTTTTGTATTTGTAATATTATTAAGGACTTCCAATGTTTTCTGCTCATTTTACAACATTAAAAAAAATACTCATTGAATTTGTGTAAAAATATTAATAACTAAAAAGAATACTACCGATGTGACATTCATTGTTTTCTCCCAACACCCTTCATATGTGACTGTCAAATTGAAATTTACAGAGTCAAAACAGTAAATAGATGCTATTTTCTAATCACGTTTATTACAAAATTGAAAACTACGGTATCTGAATTAAAAGCAGTGGCGAATATGCACCCTAAAATGGCAGTCATCTCGATTTTTATTTATTTATTTTTTGTAAGTTGGCATAGTGCTCTTTTTACCAAAAAATATGATGCCCCGCCCACCCACCTTTCTTTTATCGTGGCAAACATGACTGCCAAGTTGTAATTTACGGTGTTAAGTTAGTAATAGCCATTTTTCTAGTCACGTTTATTCCGTAATTGAAAACTAGGGTATGTGAATTAAAAGTAGTGGCGAATATGCACCCTAAAATCGCAGTCATCCCTTTTTTTTAGTTGGTACAGTGATATTTTTATCAAAATATATAATACCCCGCCCACCCACCCTTTTTTAATGGTGCCATACATGACTGTCAAATTGAAATTTACGGTGTTGTCAGTGGATGCTACCTTCTAATCACGTTTATTACAAAATTGACAACTAGGGTACGTGAATTAAAATCAGTGGCGTATTTTCACCCTAAAATTGCAATCATCCCTATTTTTTTGTTAAGTTAGTACAATGCTATTTTTATTAAAAAAATATGATACCCCGCCCACCCACCCTTTTTTTTATCGTGGCAAATATTGCTGTCAAATTGAAATTTACGGTGTGAAGTCAGTAGGTGCCATCTTCTAATCACGTTTATTCCATAATTGAAAAGTAGGGTATGTGAATTAAAAGCAGTGGCGAATATGCACCCTAAAATAGCAGTCATTTCTATTTTTATTTACTTATTTATTTTTTTTGTAAGTTGGTACAGTGTTCTTTTCATCAAAAAATATTATGTCCCGCCCACCCACCCTTCTTTTATCGTGGCAAACATGACTATCAAGTTGTAATTTACGGTGTTAAGTCAGTAAATGCCATTTTCTAATCACGTTTATTCCGTAATTGAAAACTAGGGTATGTGAATTAATAGCAGTGGCGAATTTTTACCTTAAAATTGCAGTCATCCCTATTTTTTTTAAACTGGTACAGTGCTTTTTTACAAAAAAATATATACCATCCAATACCATCTTGCATTTCTATTGCATGTTTTTTTTTTCATTTTGGTCTAAGCATAATTAATTTCTCTTTGTTTCCATCTTGCTAGACTTAGCTATAGATTCGTCCCAAAAATGGTAAACTTTTTATTTTCGATTATACAGCAAAACCTCTCTACAACGGACAGTTGTGGTGACTCGGGAAGTGTCCGTTATGGACAGGTGTCCGTTCGAGCGAGGTTGATACAAAATAAATATATTTATTTTGTTGTATACTGTGAGATTATCCCAAAACAGATACATATTTCTACCTTCTCACTGAAATAGCCGCCATTTTTTTCATTAGGAAATTCCTAACACACATAATAATATATATATTCTATGAAATTTATCAAAATGGCACCAAATTTTGCTGTCCGAGTCCGCTGTCGAAAGGCTCCGTTGTTGGGAGGTTTATACACAGTTTCGGTTTCTTAAAAAATGTCCGTTGATTAGAGGTGTCCGCTATGTAAAGGTGTCCATTAAGGGAGGTTTTGCTGTATTTACAAAAAATCAGACATCTACTAGATTTCGTAAAGCGCAGATGTTTAGTTATTGATATAAATCTAAACACTTCGTTTTCTTCGTTTTAATATTAAGTAATATTTAACTTCATAGAAAAACAAATCTAACGTTTTGAAAGTACTTATTACGGCCTTTGTTTATCTAACATGAAGCAATATTACACGTTTAAGTTATTTATATATCCGGTAAGACTACATACAATGTAGAATAGAGAGTTCAATATTTCAAGCAAATTAACGTAAATAAACACGATTCGATTAGGTAAGTTTACAATTTCCTTCGGCACCTAATAGATCTTCCGCTTTGATAAGTTGGTTACAAAGTGGAAACTTGTAACGGCGGATGTACATTAGAAAAGTGATTCAATTTGAAAAGGTCCCTTTCCTGAGAAGGGATATATGATAAAACATGTGTAGTATTTTACCAAAAATTGAAGAGCCGATTCTTTTGTGCCTAATTTCAATCCACTCCAGCTACAAATAAAAGTTCGATGCCAACTGCAATTATGATTATGAGGGGTTTAAAAGGACGTGCTCTATCGGTTACCTGTTATAGATTTGAGTGGACCAGAAAAATGGCTACAGTTTGTTTGACCACAAATTTTAAATATTCTACCCTCAATTATTTATTAAGATGTTGTATTTCTGTAAAGCGCAATGGATTTTTTAATACAATTTCTACTAATGTACCTTTTTGAAAATTTAAAATTGATCTATAAATAGCGAAAACCAGATAATCTCACACTCATCACAATTTTAACGCGTTGCAGTTTTTTTTGACAACAAAATTTAAAAAACAGAAAAGCAGTCTGGGTAGGGTTTTTACGCTCATTTCAACGGTGTGAAGTTTATATGTATTTCGCTATGCTGAAATATCCTTTAGCTCACCCTTAAAATGATGAAGAGCTTATGTCTATTATGGTGACCTGGTTTCTTAACAAATTCTGTGCTAAACTCTTTGTGGGGACGAACTACATATAATAATCCCAATATTTTTGAGTATTTGGGTTAAAAGTGATAGCAAAAAGTAATGAATTACTTGTAATTGAATTACTTCCAACCACTGTCCATCAGTCTCTCCTAAATTCATAACTTTCATTGTAAACCTGCCACAAGCACACAATCTATCCAATAAACACACTAAACTAACTCTCAAAACATCTACAACAATGTTGCAACAATCCCATGACTCGAACAAAACAGTTCCTGCAACTCTTTCGCTCTTTGTCACCTATTTCCACACTCTACAATAATCTGACCACAAAATAACGTTCTACGAAAGCAAAATTCATTTATCAAAGCAGAAACAATGCACACCCTCGCACAAAAGATGACTCACCGTTCCTGGTGCTGTATCTCCTTGACCATGATGTCGGCGAGCGGATCATTGAACGGTCTCTCCCCAAGAAGACGTTGCTGATCGAGGTCGCCCTGCATTTGACTGAATGCATGTTCGCCGACATTTATCGAGGTTTCCAATTGAGACGACAAATCTATAGACTCTTCGTCTGCTGTAATCAATACAGGAATAGGTAAAGTATGTCACATGTTTAATTGAACAAACAAACAAACAGTGGTCGATCGGCCACTGAAACTCACACGAATACTCGTACGATTCGTTGATCATGATCAAGACATCTTGAGCATCGGACGGTGCACGAGAGGTAAACACGAAGAGCACTGGCAGCTCGGATGAATTCTTATCTTAATCGTGAACAAACAAAAGTGCGGATTACTCGGCATTGTTTATTCTCGGGTGCTTATGCTAACCCATTTCTTTGGGCATCGAAATGAGCTGTTTCGGTCTGACCTATCGAAGGAAAAACGAAAGGTTGGCGGGTGCGTGTAGTAAATTACTACAATTGGGTTGTGATGGGCTTTTTTGTGTAAAGTTAATAGTATGGGTGGTGAAGCTTTGAATATTAGATGGATTGTGGAAAACTGGACTGGTCGCGTCCTCTTTGGAGCACCACAGGTGTTAATGTTAACATTTGAGCACGAAAATAAATACGAAAACATGTTTTCTGACGAACGCTATCTTTCATTTGTGTCATAAAATTAAGAATTACTTAGATTTCATTATTGATAGAGCGATAGTTAGGAGAGGTCGTTAACGGTAGCGCAAACATTTGGTGTCCACAAACTACTTTATTTTAAATTTCACCTTCAAAGTAAGAGTTTTCTAGCAGACATTTTGTGTGGCAGAAATTCAAATGATTGTGTGAAAGTAAAAAAGCCAAGAGAAATATTCACTCAAGAAATTCATAGTATAATTGTCAGCACCCAAGTAGCTCTTCCACGATATGTTGAAAGAAAAACCGTCAAGTTTCCAAGGGCGTAGTTGACCGTGGATTTCAAAAAACCCGCTTCGCTGAAATTATAATGCCTCATTATGACAGTTATCACAACAAACTAGTCGTTTTCAAAACTCTTGGTGCGTGCGTACGAAAATGTTTGTTTTTGTGCTAGGAAACGATGATATTCTGTTCATTGTTATATCTTATTATCGCAATAGAACATTCGGAAACGGAGAGTGGGTGTATTCTGTAACCGCTTGTAAGCAAAAAAATCTGGCCAAATACCGTGATTTGATAATTCAAGAAACATCGTTAGAGGCTCGTATTAGACATGTAATCAACAAATTTGTTCGAATTGGCAGTGTCGACAAAGGGAAATCTCCTCGAAGACCTTCAGCATCTGAGGAAGTTATTGATGATTTGAGACGACTTGAGCAGAATCTGCAGACATCGTTGACAAGACTTCCTCAGCAGTCAGGAATTCCTGTTGCAACATGAAATTGAACAATGGAACTAAAGTATTGACGAAAGGATGTTACAGAATATTTTTGAAGTTAAAAAGAGAGTGAACATGTGCCTTAAACAAAATTTTCAATATTTACAATGAATTAGTTTTATTTTTTAACAGATACAGATTCCTGTGGTATTTGTTGTGAGTCCTTGGGCATTTAGTAAAGTCCAAAATTGCGGGGAGGCACGTTTCCATGACCTACTTGGACCCTATAATCATTTATAGAAACCCTGTATGAACCTTAGCCCTAGGACAACAAGCGATCCAAACAAAAGGTTAAAAACAACCCTTCAAAATACAGATCAGCATAATGCGAAGGCTCTTTGTTAATCTTAACATTATAGACTTTGAGCCCAGAAAGGTCACGGGATTTATAGGGACAGCAGTAGGTCAACTTTCCCACCCTACGACTCCACCAAATCCATTAGACTTCGTAATTTTATGAGTGTCCGGTAGGATTGAGAAAATACATGAGAAATAATAGAGAAAGTAAGGAAGTTCAGACATGTATTCTCGCTTTTACGGATGCTGGGCAAGTTATACACACAGGGACCTTAGATGTGGGGCACTGTTGTGGGATTATTGGGACTATGGAGGACGATTTTTTAGGGATAAACTGTGGGAACCTTGGAGCAAATTTCGACCCCGATCCTCATTGGGTGGTTTCAAACTTCTAAAGAAAGCGGAGAAATATAAAAGGATGTCCCTTTTGTAGACAAATTCTAGAATCCTTAAAGCGGATTTCGACCTGGGTACTCTTTGAGTTGATGTCTAATTAACCTTCTATACCTAAACTATACGATGTACGAGAGTAAGCCCTTGGCGAACAAATTCTGAGAGTGTTGGGGCCGAGGAGGGTGGAATAAGAACGGAGGGAGCATGTCCTATGCTTTCAATGGTACGGTTTTGGCCCAAAATCATCTACCGCAAACACCGTTTACGATCGGTCTGTCGACTGTGCGCATGTGCGAGCTTGCTACAAACCTCGAGAAAAGTCCATCGTACTCCATGGGCGTACATCTCAGTTATTTTGTACCATCACGTGCTGTATATCTTTATACTTTAAGCCGTTTTGTTTTTAATAAATTCAACATGGTGAACTGCAAACTTTGTAAGTCGTGGAATGGAAGTAAACAATCTGTGAAAGACAGACTTAGTTTCCATAAGTAAGTAATAAATGTATAACTTGAGTAACTTTGCCCGCCACTGTTTAGCGATTCTCTCGAAACTGGGGGCGTGGTTTAGTCGAGCGCGTATTCCAAACACCGTCATAAACGGTGTCTAGATTTCGGACGATCGGTACCACATTTTTCGACCGTACTATCCCTCCGTTCTTATTCTACCCTCCTCGGTTGGGGCGCATTTCAAGTCCGATATGCATTGAGTAGTCCTACAAACTTAATCCTCCTCTGGGATCATTTGAGGAGATTTCTACGCGATTATCATCGGCTTGGCCCCAATTTTAACCTTCTATAAGGGAAGTGAAGCGATGTACCAGGATAACCTTTTTACAAATTCTGGTATCCTTGGAGCGGATTTCGACCTCGATGGTCTTTGGGTTGAACTCAAACTTAACCTTCCGTGAGAAAACTAAATTGACGATCCTCGAGGTGCATTTCACGTCCAATCCGCATTGTGTTGGATTCGAGAAGATGGTCAACCCTGATCTGCATTGAGTTGGAAGTCAAACTTAACCTTCTATGGAGAAGCGGAATTATGGACAAGGATGTGCTCTTTACAGACAAACTTCGGGATCCTTTGAGCAATTGTCCAATAGCAAACCCAATGATTGGACTCAAATTTAAACTTATGTGAGAAAAGTAGAGTGATGTCCGAGTTTCCCTTTGACAAATGACAAATTCTGGGATTCTTTAAACGGATCCCTATCAGCATCAGGTTGGACTAAAACTTAAGTTTCCATAAAAGAAATGGAGTGGTGACCCTTTTACAAATTATGAAATTCTTAGAAATTTGAACTTTAACCGCATTGGATTGGACTCAAACTTAACCTTTTGTGAAATTGCTTGGCTGTCAAATAACTAGTAATGGAATACGTACTTTGACGTAATTCTGTACGGCTCCACAACATCGGGTAGTTTTGGCAGTATTTTTTGTTTCGAAAAATGAGTGAACTTAACTAAAGAGCATCGTGCGGTTATAAAATTTCTCACTAAAGACGGAAATGTACGGTATTAGCGGCCCACATTATTTTCAAGTAAAATATTGGTCGAAACAATTTCGAGGGGGTCGAGGTTCGTTTCACGACGACCCAAGATCAGGAAGACCGGTTGAGGCAAGAACTGAGGAAACCATAGGACTTGTTGAAGATTTACTACTGTCTGATCCACGAATGAAAATTCCAGTGGTTGCAAAAGAAGCTGGAAAGTGCAATATTCAAGATTATACACGGAAATTTAGGCATGAAAAAAGTGTCTGCTCCTTACGCCAGAGCAGAGACTGATGAGGAAAGAAATTTGTCAGGAATATTTGGATGCTTTGGCGAAAGATGACAGTTATTTTCGCGGATTGGCACATGCGACGAACCGTGAATGTCTCACGGGGACCCTTCCACAAAACAGGAATCAATGCAGTGGGTCCATAGGGGCTCTCCACCCTAAAAAAAAACAAAAATCCAGTCTTCCTCTGGAAAAATGATGGGGACCATTTTATGGGACTGTGAGAGCCTTTTGCTTATTGAATACACGGCAAAAGGGACCACGATTAATGGTGAGGTTTTTAAAGCAAAACGACCGAACTCAGGGCGAACAAAAACTGCGCTGTTGCACGACAATTGCAGGGTCCACAAGGCTCGCCATGTGCCCAGATTTAGCACCAAGCACCATTTTTTTTTTTTTGTTCTAACATCTACAAAATACCCAAGGCCCACAAATTTGGCTCAGATGATGACCTGAAAAACGCAGTAGCGTCGTTTTTGAAGCGCAAACAAATGATTTTTTATTTTTTGAAGGAATGAAACAGCTGGAAAAACGCTGGACTAAATGTAATACTGTAGATGGTAGTTAAACTAAAAAAAAAAACGCCCTCCTAAAAAAGTGCCCACTTGGTCGACAAATTCTTCTTTGGAACCGATTTTCAACTCAATTCGCATTGGTTTCGGCTCGAGAAGGTAGTGAGAAGCGTCTTCACGGTGAAAAGTAGCAGCAATAAAAAAAATCAAGTTCCGCATTGGGTTAGACCAGAAAGGGTATGGAAATCTTCTTGATTCCAGTATTCTATTTCGTCACTATAGTCTAACATTCGTAATTACTTTCGTAACCACCATCAAGTACTTCGAAAAACGTTGAACTACGGATGAGTTTCTTGTTTCCAGAAGAAATTCTGTAGACTACTTTAATGTGGTCGCGAAAGCTGCATCTTCTTTCTTCAGAACACCCGATTAACGTAAATGATCCTTCAGGAGAACTATCTTCAGTTTAAGGCTGAAACCGTCGAACTTCCAGGTACATCACTGACTACTTAACGGACTAATTTTTTGACACATTCTAGTGCTCCTTATAGGTTAATCAGTCAATAATTTGTCTAACGTACTCGGATCACTTGAAAGGTCCACGGTTTGTAGTTACAGTTTGCGGCTTTTGTCATTTGCCCAAATGGATTTTTAACTGTAAACTTGATGTGGAGAGTCGCATTCCCGTGAAACGCGCGGGTTGGTTTAAATAGCTAGCTAGTTTGCGAACACCAG